GGTGACAGCTATTTTACTGTTTATTTCCTCATAGAGTCAAAAAAAAGCCATTCCACCTTTGTGGAAATGGTGACAACACCATGTTTGCCTGCGCAACTCTTTATCCTATTCCACGTTTTGCCCTAATAGCCATGCACCTCAGCTATCAATCCATTGCAATCGAATCCTTTCTGTTAACTCACACCAGTCTGTACCTTGGCCCACCGTCATGCTCGCTTGCTAACTGCCCTTTCCAGCCACACTTGCTATATCTCAGGTCCATCTCCACCTTTTCTGTTGCTTTACATGAATGGAAGATTGCCTCTTTCAATGTTAAAAACAGGAATTAGTTTTCAATGAAATTTAAGAAAAGCACTGAACATTTAGAGGACATGACACTTCTAGGAGTTGATTTACAGATAGATCGACTATATAAAAAGAGACTTTAAATCCTTGAAACTTGAGATGTTAAATTATCTGTCAAGTTGTATATATCTGCTAAATAACTCTTTCATTGCTGGATTTGAAACCGTGGGTCTATTAAGCCATCTCATAAATGATGGGTTTGTACTCCCTTAGTTATCTCTTAGGATTAGTAGTTATAGTCAGCTCTAGTGTAAGTTACTAAATTGCATTTCTTGATGATGAGAATTGAGAAGTACTCCCTGAATGTTGAGCTCTATCTTAGTTTCTTTGATATTTCAGTTAACTTCCTTGATGGAAGGGGAGCTTTGACGTAACTGGTAAAGTTGTTGTCATGTGACCAGGAGGTCACGTGTTCGAGCCGTGGAAACAGCTTCTTGCACAAATGCAGGGTAAGGCCACGTATAATAGACCCTTGTGGTCCGGCCCTTTCGTGGACCCTGCACATAGCGGGAGCTTAGTGCACCGGGCTGCCCTTTTCTTTTTTTCTTTTTATGTTAACTTCCTTGATGATACTTCTTTTGATGTCTTTGTTACTTCTAGCAAAATGGTGATTCCCCCGCCAATTAGACCAGACAGAGTGACGAAGTATCTCAAACCTTACGTGCTGAGGATGCACTTTACAAACAAGTATGTAAATGCTCAAGTAGTTCACACACCAACAGCAACAGTGGCTGCTTCTGCAAGCACACAAGAGAAAGGCTTAAGGCTTGCCATGGTAGAAGGAAAAGAAAATACTAGAGATGTTGCTGCTGCTGCAAAAATAGGTAAGTTGTTGGGAGAACGGTTGCAGGCTAAAGGTATTCCCGCCATATCTGTTTTCTTTAAGAGAGAGCAAAGATACCATGGAAAGGTCAAAGCAGTTATTGATTCAGTGAAAGAAGTAGGCATAGAACTGGTTTGATTGAAACACAATGACCACTTTCTCGTTTCATGGCCTGCTGGATTTCCTCCCAAGGCAAAGGATTTATATGTTCTATTGTCTTTGCAAATCGGTTTTCGCTAGTTAAGCTCTACTTCGACAATTTGCTCGTCTGTTCTTCGAAACTGGAGCAATATGTGGTTTTCAATGTATAAGGTGTCAGTGTCACTTATGACATTTCCTGTGTTCTGAGTTTCTTATTCCAAGAAGAAGGTTCCTAGCCTCCTGGTCCACCCCCCCCCCCCCTCGCCCCACCATCCTACCCCAGCTACATGACTATTCTCCAGTAACTATTTTCCTTCTCGAACCTGATAATTATAAATCCTATTCATCATTTGCGTAAAGTTGAAGTTAAACTAGGATGTAGAAGATGTGGTTTCTGTTTCGGGTTGAAAATCTGAACTTCTTGATAATCAGATTAAGAAACAAAAGGGAATGTATACAACATTATCACTTGATACTACAATTAACGTCTAATAACTTATTAGGCTTTCAAATCAAGTATTTAAGGAGAATGCTCGAAAGCTGTTTTAAATCCACAATTGCATTAACGATAATTGTATTAGACTTTAAGTTTGGAGTGAACAAAGTAGGGGTATTATCACTTTTAGCCCGCGCAAGAAATTATTTACATCTGGTGGCCGAAAAGTGTATAAAACTTGTATAATTTTTGTATATAACATACAGAATGTGTATATATAAAAAATATACAAATTTTATATATTTTTTTGATTATTATTTTTACATCGACTATACAGTGTCATTTTTCCAATAAAGTAAAGTTTTTCAGTTGTATTAAGAATGTTTCAATGCAGTATATCATCCTTGACGCAATAGGCTCCAATTTAAAGCGATTAGAAACTTGGTATACTCTGCATATATTAGTTTCTTTTTAACTCGATATCTTCTTAGAAAAATTAAAATAATTTAATATTCGCAAGAAAATAGGCATTTGTCTATTTTGACTATTGTGGTAATGTGGTTTAAGAAAACAAACAAAAAGATTGTACCATTACTTAAAAAAACATATAAATAGAGAAAATATTGCTGGAAAAAAAATCGTATGCCCACTATTTTAACTCTGTACAATTCTATTTACTATATTTGTGCAGAGAAAAACAAAAAAGATATCCTTGGGTGTCTAGAAACTAGAGTAAAGGAGTTAAGACTCTTTTTGCAAAAGAATAAAATAGATATCCTTGGGTGTTTAGAAACTAGAGTAAAGGAAAGAAAGGCAAAAAATAAAGTGAACAAGGTAGCTAGAGATTGGGGTTACTGTTGCAACTACACTAAAGCTATAAATGGAAGGATTTGGCTCTTATGGAAGACACACCTGACAGTTAAGGTACTCCAAATACATGAACAATTCATTCATTGCTCAGTGGAAGATCAAGCAACAAACTCCTGATTATGTTGACAACAATATATGCTAGCAATAAGGTGCAGGAAAGGGCAAGCCTATGGCATGAATTGCACATACTAGGTGGTCAGATTCAAATACCATGGCTTATCGGTGGGGATTTCAACAGTGTGTTAACCACTGAAGACAGATTAGGACAGACAGTAACAACTAATGAGGTGTAGAATTTCAAGCAGTGTATTGATAACATGCAACTGACCCCACTAAGAACAAAGTGGTGCTTCTTCATCTGGTGCAACAAACAAAATGCTAATGATAGAGTTTGCAGTAAAATTGATTAGGCTTTTGGAAATTTCAGTTGGACTCAGACTTATGGACATCTAGAAGCTGATTTTCTGGAACCTGGAGTATCTGATCACTCCCCAATTGTAGATCAATTATGGAAGAGAAGAACTATCTACCCAAAGCCTTTCAAGTTATACATGGTGACAATGGACCATAAGGACTTCACTCCTATGGTGAATAGAGTATGGCAACAATAGGAAGAGCAGGATCCTATGGCACTTATATGGCTGAAGCTAAAAAGACTAAAAGATGAGGCTAACGGTCTGAACAAGGCTATGGCAAGCTATGAACAAAGACTAACTCAAATTAGGCAGAGTCTAGAATGTGTTCAAGCAGCTCTGGTCACTGATCCCTTTAATCAGCTGTTGATTGAGCAGGAGAAGCAGAATATGAGTGATTTGGAGAAATTGAGTACAATAGAAGAAAGAATATTGAGGCAGAAATCTAAAGCAACATGGATTGTATGGTGACTCCAACTCGAAATATTTCTATGCACAGCTGAAAATAAGTACCAGCAAGAATAATACTACTTCTATATACAATGACTTGGGAATGAAGATCACTGATAAAGGCTGTGGAAAAGGAGTTTACTGATTTCTTTATACAACTAATGGGGAATGCTAATTGATTAATGCCATGACCTAATACTAGTATCATTAAGGTGGGAAACTATCTCACTTTACAGCATTAACAGGAACTAATAATGGATATAAATCATTAAGAGATTGATGAAGCAATTAGGGATATTCCAAATGGATAAAGCCCCTGGAGTGGATGGTTTTCCTATAGAATACTTCACCAAGCAATGGGATACTGTGAAGCAGGACATATATGAGGCTATGTCGTATTTCTTTCACACAGGTAGAATGATGCCAGCATGGAATTGTACTGCTATTACACTGATTCCTAAAATCCCAACTCTATCTAAAGTGAAAGACTACAGGCCTATAGCATGCTGCACTACATTGTATAAAGTTGTTGCAAAGATACTTACTAGAAGAATAAAGAAGGTAATAGAGGTAATCATTGGGAAGTCAGAGTCTGCATTCATTGAAGGAAGGAGTATCATTGATAACATCCTATTAGGCTATAATAGGAAAGGTTCATCACCTAGATGTGTAATGAAAGTAGACATTTAAAAGGCCTATGATTCATTGGATTGGCTGTCTCGTAGGTGTGTATGCTAACTAATCTTGGGTTCCCCCAAAAGTTCATCCATTGGGTAATGGAGTGTGTTTCAACAGTGTCTTACTCATTGGTGCTCAATGGTGGCCTTACCAAACCATTCCAGGACAAGAGAGGGATTAGGCAAGGAGACCCCATGTCTCCTTACCTATTTGTCATTGCAATGGAGTATTTTCAAAGAGAGATGAATCAACTACCTACCATAAAGGAATTCAAATACCATCCAAGATGCAAAAAGCTGGGAGTGACTCATATTTGTTTTGCTGACGACTTACTTATGTTTTGCAGGGCAGATATAACCTCAGTAACCAAAATGCAGGAAACTTTTCAAAGATTTTCTGCTGCATCCGGCCTTCAGGAAAATGCAGACAAAAGCTCCATGTACATTGCTGGAGTACACCAGGACATCAAAGTCTCACTGCTCAACCTAACAGGGTATACAGAGGGATCAATTCCTTTCAAGTATCTGGGAGTTCCATTGTCTGCAAAGAAGTTAAATATTCACCAATGTTTGCCACTGGTGGAGAAGATCACTGAGAGAGTTAATTGTCGGTAAGCTAGGATGCTATCATATTCAGGAAGAGTGCAGCTCATTAAGTCTGTGCTCTTTGGCATGCAGACTTACTGGGCTCAAATATTCATATTGCCTAAGAAGATTATGAAGATGATTGAAACAATTTTGCAGAACATTCCTTTGGACTAGCTCAAGTGCTACATCTAGGAAAGCACTGATAGCTTGGGACAAGGTCTGTCAACCAAAAGCAGCCGGGGGATTAAATGTTATCAACATGAGGCTATGGAATAAAGCAGCAATCCTGAAACAATTGTGGGCACTGACCATGAAAAAGGATGCATTATGGATCAAATGGACACATTGCTATTACATAAAGCAGAAGGAAGTTGACACAATGGACACACCTAATACAACAGCTTGGGTGGTCAGGAAGATCATAGAAGCAAAGAAAGATTTATTAAAGGTGAGCACAGTGCAGACCAGCCTTACTACAGCATTAGCAGATATGGAGAAGCAAGGCAGATTTCAAATTCAGAAAACCTATATTCAGATGCTGCCTCAATTTCCAAGGTTGGCTGGAAGAGCATATATATGCATCCATAGATCCATCCAAGATTTAAGTTTCATTTATGGTTGGCAATTCATCAGAGGCTAGCCCTTGTGGATAGACTATATAAGTTTGGGATTCAAGTGTCGCACCAATGTGGCTTTTGTGCTAAGAGCATAGAAACATTTAGTCACCTATTTTTCGAATCTCATGTACAAACATAATATGGGATAGAGTACTCAAATGGCTGGGAATTACAAAGAGAATAGGCAGATGGCAAACAGAGATAGAATGGATCAGTAACATAGCTAAAATGAAAACTGGCATGGCAGCTATAACTACTGCAGCTTTTGCCATGGTAGTTTGTTGTATTTGGCGAGAAAGGAACTCCCTCAGATTCAACAAAGGCAGATATGTTGCAGATGGGATATGCAGGGATTGCCCTACACATGCATGTACAAGGAAGATCAAATAGTAAATGGCAACCAACTTTGCAAGGATTGAACAAGTATCCGTAGAATAGTTGTAATTTGCTTGAAAGTGTAACTAGTTTAGCTAATTGTAATTGTAATTAGGAGGCTGATGGCCAGCACCAACCTGGTTTTGTAAAGACAGTTTTTGATGAATTGGAAAGTCTTTAATCAAAAAAAAAAAAAAAAAAAAACAACAACAAAGAAGTTATAGAAATTTTAGCTTGGAAAGGTATGCCCTGGTAGAAAAGTGGAAGGACAAATTGGTGAAACTGAACCTTGCACTGATAGGAATATAAGATAGTAGTAATAGTTACTGTTTAAACGTCTGAGGTTTGAGAGTTAGCTATGTGTCAAGTTGGATTTCTTTCTTTCGTTTTTCCCCTGAGTTTTGCCAGCAATTAACGGGAGAAGGAAGAGATTAGAAATAAAGAGTTGGTGAATCGTTAACTATTTCTTTCATCCCAAAACTTCTTAATGCACCATGAGTTTGCTGGTGAATACATGGTTGACATATCTTTTAGCAAAAATCTAATGTTGTCTCGCCAATCAAATAAATAGGCAAAAAATAGACTTTTAAAGTAGAGAGGCGGAACCATTATCCATCATCAAGTTTTGAACTATGCATCTCGGGTATTTCGGTTACAAAAGAACAAGATTAGGCAATCGAAGTCTGTACCAACAAAACTGATATATCTTTCTCGTCAATTATTAACAGTATAGCAACAAGCACATCTAGCAAAATCAATTTGCAAGAGAAACTTTTGCAGGTTTCAAAAACATAAACAACAATGGAAGAGTGAAAAATCACCAAAACTAATACAGAAAAAGGGGGTTCATATAACTTAGAACTAGGATTTTCTACCTCTAAATTAGCAAAATTTCCCCAAATCTTCTAGCCCAGGAATAAAAAGTTCCAGTTTGAGATGGACGAGCCTTGCCATATAACCGTCAACTCTATATATGCTACCAGCAGTCGGATTTCTTATAATTTCAGAATGTAATTTCTGATCCAACTAAGCTAATTCCACAAGGAGCTGAGCTTTGACGCGAGTTTTGCACTCTTGTAATCGTCACGAAGTTGAATAAACCTGAGTTTGCAGACACAAGAAACGTTATTCTAGGTAGAAAAATGGGCTAGAAATAGAGTAAAAAAGAACTCAAAAAACTGTCCCTTCTTATGCAAACTTGTACAGGCTGACAATCATATACGGCTAGAAGTCATTCAACCTTTTTGGTGTCTACTAATCATAAAACAGAATTTTGGTTATTAAAAACTGTGGTGGACATTTCACTTGAGCACATGCATAGCATGAAAAAGAACATATCTTTTTTTTGGGAAAACTCTCGGGGAAAGTCGCAGCCGCTACCCTTCGGGCGCGCACCGGGTAACCTGCTCACTATGCAATAGCTCGCAAACCACACAAAGATGTAAACCGCAATAGGCAAGCCAGGTGCGACGAGCTCTGACTGAGGAAGCTGTTGGTGAGGGGAATTGATTCCAGGTCTCCCATGTGGGAAACCACTCACCCAACCAACTCAGCCACCCCTTGCGGGTGACAAAGAACATATCTTATAGAAGTAATTATGTGAGAAATCTGCAGGAAGCACAATGTAGATTTCTGCGCACAGTGCACAAGAATGTCAACATCTTAGTTACCTCTGAGCATCTTTCTTAATGCTTGGAGTTCCCTCAAACAGCGGGCCGAGACTTTCAGGAGCAACAATAAACACATTTGCAATGCTGAAGCAAAAGTTAAAACAGGAAACATTAGGGGAGAATATATTTAGTATAAGGCCTACAATATTCAGAACACTTGCAACTTACATTCCGAGCTGTTCAAATTTCTCATCAATCTGAGGGGCATTGAAACTACGGACATACTCCCCATATTCTGTTATATCACGCTTCAAACGCAGTCCTCCACTGCACAAGTCAGAGAGAAATAATGTCAATTAGGATTTAGGAGTAACTTAATAAGTAGATGAAGCAACTTTGAGTGAAAGCAAATCATAATTTGATTGGTGCTATGAATTAGCACGAAAAGAACATCAACAACACCCTTCTCTTTCGCTATGCTAGCATCAGAAGAATTTTCGATTATTTGTTGGCCTTGTTTTTTCTTTTTTCTCTATTCTTTTTCATTTTATCGCAGTTTCTGGGAATCAGTCTTGATTCACCACAATTCCTACATATATTGTCTTTAGTGGGATCTTTCTCTTGCATAAAGATCTGTGCCTGATAATATTAATAATAACAATAATAACTATGAAATATTTTCACAAGAGAAAGGAATTACCTAGGATTGAAAGTGAGCTTTTGCCAATGGTTAAGCAAAGCTTTGTGCAAGCGATTCCCCTATAAAAGATTTTAAACATAGAAAAACGCAGTGTCAATACTAGAAATTCTGATTCAAAGAATACTAAATACGGAATCAAAAAATAGTTGTAGATAATTCGAACATTGGTGAACTGTCAGATACAACAGAAAAGCATAGCACTAAATGGATGCGAGAGCCAAAATTTTAGTTTCATCCCAGCATTCATATAACAAATGTATTGAGGCACACTTAGCAAGATCAATTCAAACAATTGGTGAATCTGAGAGTTACAACTTACACGCTAGGGCATGTTTAATGTCATTAAAGTAGATTATGCCAATTCAAACAAGCTACTGAACAATTTCCAAAAACAGAATTCCTTGAAACTACAAAAATAGCCGATTGGGGCAAGGATCAATTGTCATACGTCTAGAAACAACTTTGGACCGGGCAATTTCAAGAAGAAAGTTTTACTTGACAGATAATTATGTGAATAGTTCCAACATCAAGGGGTTGGACAAAGAATAAGAGCATTCGCAGCAAGAAGAACATTAACATACCAATTCAGTCAGGAACGCTTGTTTGTTGAGCCCTTCCAATCCAGTGAATGCCGACTCAAGCACACGAGAAAGATATGCAACAACACTGGTCAATCGAGATATTATCAGCATACGATAAATGAGGAAAGTAAATATAGATAGAAACGAACATCAATTTCAGAGATAAGGTCAACTGAAAGTTTGTATTTTTTGTGTCAGAAATATGATATTTTTCTGCTTCTGAATGGGAGCAATATAAAAGACCCCAGATTAACATATATGCATCTTGTAACTAATATATATAAAGCTTCACCATGCACAAGCACTTGTTGGCCTATGGTCCGGGATAATGCCATCATCAGGTGATCGATAATCTGTTGCTTTTTGCTCGGTTGACAGTAGCCTTTCCACCTGATTAACAGTCAAAGAAGGGCAAACACAGTGTTAAACAAAATGCTGGTTTGAGAGCACATACACAAGAACAGAAAAATTTAAAATAGTTGGTAAAAGTGATCAATAGGATCTTTTGCCCAGGGAGGATAAGGTGTCCACATATAGCACATATCAAGCCTATACACCAAAAAAGCATATATTATGAAGCACAAACCTCAGCCATGACAGTTTCAATGCACTGTTGAAGCCCCTTACAGGCAACATTCTCTGCACGAGACATAGCTGTTGCCATTTCTTCACTGGAAGCAGCATGAGCACCATCCACAGGAAGCAAAAGCCGCGATAAGGAGTTCACAAAATACTGAAGAAAAGCAAGACTTTAGTTGCAATTGAGTGTTTCAAGAAGCATAAAAAATAATCTAATTACAGTTCAAACCAACCCACTTGCTGCAAAATAGCCACACTGCTTCCACAACGTTGCACAGCGAGCATGAAAGATCTGAAACTGCTTTCGCCAGCAGCAGCCGCATTTTCTGCCTATATACCAGCAAACATATCATAAGCCAGCTGGTCATTCTCTACCATTTAGATGTTATACAAAGTACAAACTTTAGATCACAAAAAAGGACAGAATAATTACGGCAGAAGCAGCTGCTGCAGCAACTCTTCGGCTAACACTAGTTCCCAGCAAGTGCTTTTCCCTTAAGGCAGCAGCTTCAGTAAGACCATCTCGGGCTCTTTCAAGACCTCCTGTTGTGTACTGACTGACCTGCGAAAGGCTAGAGTAAGGAAAGCAATTGTACCACAACAACTACTAGTGCCTCAGTCCCAAACTAGTTGGGGTTGGTTTTATGAATCCTCAATAACCATTTCTATTTGGCTTGTGTCATTCTGTACTCAATAATTCGTCTTTTAGCACAAATTAGGCTTTATCCAACTTGTCATCCCTACATATAAACATAATATACATACCTGAACTGAAAGGACTCTTGTCAAACACCAGATGTAATGCAAGTGTACCAAGGACGAGGACCTAATGTAAGTGTACCTACCCAGGACGAAGACCTAATGTACAAATAACAAGGGTACTCATTATGTGGGCACGTTGTGACTTGGTGACCAAACATTCACTTCCATATAACACTGCAGGTCGCAGGACGTTTTGTAGAACTTACCTTTTACTTTGGCAGGTAAACTCTTATCAAATAACATTGTTGTAGCACTTCTCCATTCCAGTCATCCTTTTCTAATTCTGTCGTACAGCTTCATCTATTTGAATTGACTGCATTTAGGCAACACCATGCACCTTATTTCACCTCATATCATTCTTCTTATGCTGGCTAAATTTGTGGTGTATATTTATTTTTTTGTTACTTCTACTTATCCTAAATCCATTGCTCTCTAGAGTGCTTCTCCATAGTCAAGATTTTGGTTGACTTCTTTGCTAATTTCGTCGATTAACACACTGTTTGCAATTAACATACGATGGAGTCCTATCTTGTATACTATTGATTAGCTCATTAATAACTAGGGTAAACAAGTATGGTGCAACCCATAATTATGGGAAATTTCTTTGTATCTCCTCGCACTCTTTTAACACTTGTTAAAGCTCCTTTCAACCACAATAAAACAAAAAGATATTACAAAAATTGAATGGGACTCTTGCCTTCATCGTCAAATATGTTTCTATACAAATTCAAGATAATTTCCACAACAAATGACAAGTAAAGCGAACAAAATAACTCCTTAATCTTCACTAGAGGAATTGCTTACATGAATTCTCAATCTGAGAGAACTGCAGAAAAAATCAACTATAGAAATTTGGATCTATCATACACAACAAACAACAACAGCCAAGTGAAATCCCACAAGTGGGGTATGGGGAGGGTAATGTGTACGCACACCTTACCCCTACTCCAGAGGAACGATAGACCCTTGGCACAATAAGATGAAACGAGACAGTGTAGTGGTAACAACAAAGGAGTCCGGAAAGATAACACCAACAACGTAATAACCAGAAAATAGAGAGAAAAGTAATAACACTGAGCAGTAACAATGGCACAATACTACAGACGCAATGGAATAATATGGACACAACAAGAGCCACTAACATCCTAAGACAAAACACCTCCAGACTAGCTTCCTACAACCTAACCTACAACCCTAATGAAATATTAAGGACACAACTGGAGCCACTAGCAGCCTAAAACAAAACACTATCAGATTTATAATTTACCTTCTATGAAATTCTAAGGTCAACCCGGTGCACTAAGCTCCCGCTATGTGCGGGATCCGGTGAAGGGCCAGACCACAAGGGTCTATTGTATGCAGCCTTACACTGCATTTTTACAAGAGACTGTTTCCACGGCTCGAACCCGTGACCTCCTAATCACATGGCAACAACCTTACCAGTTACGCCAAGGCTCCCCTTCACCTTCTATGAAATTCTAATTCAATTATTCAATACTCTCCAATAACATGATGAAAGCTATAAGATGGCATCAACAGGAGCAAACTCTAAATGTAAACAAAGATGATGAACTTACCTGGTCCAGAAGGCATGTGAAAACAACTTTAACGCTAGCAGCAAGTGTGGCAGGCTGTATATAAAACGTAATGATCAATAAGTTTCTTCCTGTAGGTTTCTTACTGAGAAGTAAATCAGTTGATAAATAGATCATGTCAAGAGAATGGGATTCTAAGTGTACCAGTGGAAGACATTAAAAAAGATAAGTAAATACGACATATTTGATTACTACAAGAATTAATGCTCTACAATAGTCTTTATATACATATTGCAAATTGAGGACATGACATCGTGAAGCTTAAATTGAAGCAATTGAAAAATTAGCACCAGCTCTCCTCAATTTTCCATGGATAACTAGCATATGCATCAATGAACTTATGAGGCTGGGCTGGGCATCAAAGGAGAAATGTGATAGAAGTGTGAGATAATAGTCCTTCAAGTACTTGTTTACTAATTAATTGAATTCGTTCTCCTCAAAAGATGAAGTAACATGCAAGTAGTAATTAGTAAAATTGACAAGACTACTGACCCAGGTGTTATTGTCACAAAAGATAACATTAGTAGAACGCTTGCATCCTGTTTGCATATTAATGTTTTAACAACATCACACTTTGCTGAAATAAATAACAAAACACAAAGTCTTCTACTAGATACAGTGGAAGCACAGAGGCGACGTGTATATAGGAAACAGCATCCGACACTTGTGCTTTTTGGTATCCTGTGTCCAGCTGAGATGCACATACTAGCACATGTGACACGATTATCCAAAGTGTATTTTGCTGTTACATTAATTATAAAAATCTTTGAATACGAGCATCCTGAAAATGGGTATGTAAGGGATAGGGAAATACTCAAAAAGTAGAAGAAAAAAGAATATGACTCTAGGACTTGGGAGTTAAAGCAAATAGAAGGTCTACAACTTTTACTGACAGAGGGATTCATACAAGCAACATTTGGCGACAAATTTCTAGGCTGTTGTTCAAAAACTCAAAAAGTATTGATGGTTGGAAGATACAGTTGGGAGAAACTTTAATGGATGGGAGACTTATAGGGTCCATATGCTACTGCAATTGATAGAAGCCGGCATTGGATGTAAGCGCAAAAGACTCCTTATGGTAACAAGCTAAATAGGATGGCAGATACTCACTTAAATCTTGTTATCAAGCTCCTTAGAAAAATTAAACCAGGGAACATGGTTAATTGGCCAGCGAGAATGCTTTGGAGAACTGGAGCCCCAATAAGTGTCTTGACTGGGATGTTTAACTCTACATGAGGCATATCAAGCTCAAAACAACTTGCAAATATAACCTATATAGTGGCGATATTTTTATTGAGGATTTGGCTGAATCTGCAAAATGTACTGTCACACCGTAAATTTACTTGGCAATCTGGTGTATTTTTTTGAACTTTAACTGAATCCAGTGCTGACGCTTTCAGTCGATAATCAGTTGGCAAGGAAAAAAGCTAAGGATGAGATGCAGGCATAGAGAAGAATTCCTTTATCTGTATTTTGGACAGTTAGGATAGAAAGAAACCATGTGTTTCGGGAGAAATCAGATAATTCTCTTGTAAAGTTTAGAATCTTTTCAGAATTAATTAAGAATTTGGTGTACGAGAATGGTTGCAGATGACATAGATACAATGCTGGATTTTACAGATTGCCGACATACTTAAAGGGACAAATCCATCTCTTTTGCATATAGCCAGTGCAATCTTTATGCTGAAGTCCTTTGAATAAAATATCTTTTTCTTACAAAATGTATGGAAGAGCCGTGTCACTCCCTCTGTATGTATAAGTCAACTATTGGTTTTCACTATGAACTAAATAATTTGTTGATGTGATACGGGACTCTACGTTTACAAGATGCCCAAAATAGAGAATCTTGCGCTTTCACTATCAGCAGTCATACGGCCTAATTTTCAATCCAAATTCTAATCTGACTAGCCCGCGGCATCTTTTTTTAGAGAAGAGGTCAAAAACTCGATTAGATTGCAATGGATATGGTGTGAACGAAATCTACTCAGGCAATTCAACAAGCCTAATGCAATAAATAGTTCCCTTTAGTGTGCCAGGCAAAGGCAAAAGATTGAGAGATGATGAAGGTGCAGCTTCAGCAAGATCTTGAAACATGTAATATGTACCTGTAATGAAAACAAACTGCATCTGGATGTTGCTTCTTCGTTCCAACGAACAAACTCTGTCACCACAGCTACAGAAATTTCCGGGTTAGAAAGTGCCATTGAAGCACCTTTTGAGCGTCCAATTGTCCCAGACGACTCTGAGGACAGCTGGCTTTCGCTACGTAGTTCGTCCATCTACAAATTAAAGCAAGAAGTCTGTTCAATATTGTTCAAGAGCAGGGTTCAGTAGAATGATATCCTACAGGCGGAGAACTTTTATAAACATCTAATAAGTTCAGAAGTGTCTATTATTACAATGACAATGTGGAGTTTCAAGATTGTTTAGTGCTCTCCAGAGACAGGTAGCCTTGTCAGCTACCGTGCAAAAATTTCATGCAAACAAAATTTAAATTGGCAGGAGCCTATGTGGAGTAAATCTTTTGCAATTTATACACCTACTTGGTGCTTTGGATCGGAATTATCTCAAGGTTCCCAACAACCAGTTTATACTAGAAATTCGACAACCAATAAATTCTTTCCTTTATTTGTTATGATAAATTTTACTTCAGGAGTTTTGATTATTTATATCATGAAAAATAACTTCTTTCAAAGTTTTCTTCTTCTACTTAAGCAAAAGAGAGAAAAATGGATTTCTTAAACAAAAACTTGGAGTGACAGACTGTTCAAAAAGAGAAGCTGCCACACACCTTAGCTTTGTAAAGTTGCTTAAGAGAGGCTTGCTCGCACTCCACGTATATGTCTTTGTGTGGTAGAAACAAAGACTCAGTCAAACCTGAACCAGACGAAAAATGGAGATGACAAATATAATCAACATAAACAAAGTCGGTCAAAGAAATGAAAAAAGGAAATAGTCTGTGATCAGGACAATCTATATTGGCCTTGTGGTTAAAGATACTGAGTTGCTTCAAAGAATCCAACCACAGCGGCAGGCCACAGTAAGTGATCTTACAGGACTAGAGCTTTTCTGGAATTTTTCAAAATGAAGCAAATGTAAAACCTGTCTTAGCGTACTACAAGAAGCATAACACCTTCGATTTGATATGAGTTGTCATGTATTTACCATTTTAGTTTATTTCTCTTAAACAGGTAAAAGATAAAAAAAAAAATTCTACAATGTTAATTGATCAATAATGTCTAAAGCAGTACATGTTTCAAAAGACAGAAAGAACAGAAGTTGGGTATCCAAGACTTCTCTTTTATTAAGAACCAGACATCCTAGCAATACCTACAACCCAAGTTTCTTCAAAAATCTGTTTTTACCTTCCACTATGCTGAACACCATGTTCTTCTTTCTATCTGGTTAACGTCTTCCAACCTATCCGTACAATGCAGGGAATGCCTAATAACTCACTTTATTTCTTCTAGCATTTAGGAAATCTTCCTCTTTCTTTGGACTTACTTGTCCTATTCTATTTGATAATCTTATTCCTTGACGCCATGGAAAAGAAGAACAAGTCTTTCATTTTTCTTCATAACTTCGTAGATAAAGCTGATTAAGTTCTCTGCTACTCGTACTGTTTTATGACCCCTCTGCCATCTTTTCACCGTCTCAATTCATCCTATTTCATCAGATCCGGGATGTGATATGGTTCCGAAGGATGAACCGGATATGGACACTTTTTGACTAGGAAATGATCCGTCTGCAAGGAAATAACTCCTTCTATTATACATCCCTATTTGTATCGCGTTGCTATATGTACCTCTTAAAGGTTCTTCAGAACCTTATCAGTAACTGTCCAAGTTAACAGACATTTCAGAATGAAGACTCAAAAGGCTTAAATCATCCATTTAAAAGTGTTCTCTGTAAGATAAATCCTTAAAGTACCATTCTGAAGCAGCACGTTCTTTAAGATAAAAGCAGCCATATGCGTATTTTGGCACTCGGCACCTCTATTAAAGGTTATAGCACATGTATTCAATTTCAACAGCTACATTAAAGTAATAACAAGAGGGCAAATGGTTACTTTTTATTTGTACCTTCAACATCCAAGTCACCACATCCTACACTTCGTAAGTCCTTAGAAAACTCTTGTGTCTTCTCATATGCAACAGCCAGCAATCTGAGATACTTAACAAGGCAAGAAAAGAGTCAAAGCCCTTAGTTTCTTTTTGACAAGTACAAAGGAAAAAACAATCTCTGTGACATCACTTACTAATACAAGTCCACCTTCTTCCATGGGAGGTGGGTTAACAAGAGATGGTTTCTGTAAGAGCTTCTCTAGAAGTTTTGGAACACGATCCTCCAAGACACGCTGTTCATAACCTCAATCAATTAGTCACCAGTTCCACCATTTCACTTTCTTTTTGTTGCTATACTCATTCAGAAATCACTTTGCTGGAATGGAAACAATTAGAATATATAAAGTACAGCAGACAAATTGGAGGAAGCTCAAGACATTCATAGATAGAAATTGTCATACTTCTAAAATAACTGATGCAATGTCAAAGCACGTATATTAATCCTTCTATGCATATATTGCCAAAGCTCTTTGACAACATAGCCTGAACTACCTTAATTTTTTCTGATACAGCACCATCGTACAAAAAGAAGATAAAACTAGGAGTTAAACTGCCTCAAAAAGTATTAATCAACCATACCTGAACTAATATCGACATTACATCCTTAGGGGAAGGGAAAACTGCTGCTATGGTGGCTGCTTCTTTTCGCACCGTGTCTGGAAGAAAACATAATGTGATAAAATTTAAAAGGAATATATTTTGAAGAGAAACACCTTTCTTTTAAACTTCAATCAGATTTACCTGTAATCTCTTTAAACATTGAAGAAAGTCCCTTAGCAACATTGCTAGGGCTGGGTTGGGCACCCTCATCACCAAGAACCAATTTGGCATCCGCATTCATCACCTCAACATCGAACATTGGACGTAAACCCACGTAGTGTTGCATGGCACTGGTACCCCTGTTAAACTGTTTCGATGAACGAACATGCCAAAAGATGAAGAGTTCCTTTAATATTTGGTACATAATTCAAAGAAAGAATAAAACGTTTCAGATGTTTCCAATGGAGCACAACCAAAAATTTAAGAGACTCTGACTTTTCCAGAATATGTGCACAAAGAAAAAGTAATCTCTTTAAGTTATTCACACATTTTGATCAGCTGCACCTTATACCATTTTTCCAGTAAGTTTCATAAAGTAATAATCTGATGAAGGAACTTTTGAAAGGTCTACTGAAACTGCTCGATTTACCTGTGACAAAATTTTAGCATATTCACCCATCCTAGTCAAATCGTGCTTCTGTGTAGCCGCATCAAATCGAGCTAATAATCTGTTTTCCAACTCTACAGGTTACCAAATGAGAAGATGACTTAGAATGTCCTTCAAGATGAAAATGTGGATGCGACATCAGAGGAAACACACACACACACAAAAGGAAAAAAAATAAAATATAAATAGACACTTTAGCTAGCAAAAACCATCACTAGTCGAAAGAAGAAAAAAAAAGATAGACATCCATACAGCGAATGTAGAAATCAAGAACCCCACTTAGTAACACATTAGATCTTAAAATGCAGTATTGTCCGTCAATCTCATAAAATCCATTTAAAACTAAAGAGACAATACCCCACGTAATGGTTGACAAAATTAATTTTTACAAGTTTAAGCAGATCCACAGATCTTTACAGATGTAGCTACTCTAGATGAAACTTTTTGAAATAAAAACTAGTAACCTGAGCATGAATAAAAGGCATTGGTGACTCAGATGCCCTTTTAATGTACACTATCCTGCTATAATATGTCAAATTTATGTTTATTGTAAAAAATTTTCAGGACTGTCACAAGTTGAGCAAATTCAAGTTAATGGCTTATAACTCAGAGATTCAAACTGAACCATCCACTACAAAGATCAGTACAACTTCAGATTCAGAGCAGTATGATCTTTGAAAGAGCTAGAACATAATATTCTAGCATTCATTATTCCCTTTAACAACAAATGTTTGATTGACCTTTTCCTTGTTCTTTTCTCTTCTTAGGGATAGAGATGCACTATACAAAAGTCTCAACATCCTTATATGAGATGACCTTACATCTTGCAAAAAGAAAAAAGTCAAGAGACATGTGAAAAAAGGGCAACACATCGATGATATGAGTTTCATAGGTATTGTGCATATTCATTGGTCCGAACATGCTTCATGCTAGTCTACACAAAGTATAAGAACCTTCTGCCTTAGTTATAATTGTAAAGTCTGTCGCTTTAAGTCTTAAGCACTTCCATTGGTGTTAAGTATGCTTCATGCCAGACAAGAAAATCATTGGTGGCAAACAACAATTTTGTGGTCTAAGAAATTGAAAAAGATTATAGTTAGGTGACGTAGCTATTGTTTAGTGTTTTCCATCACCAATATAGAACCCATTACGCGATAAGACGCAGGTCTTATTGCCTTGTTGCCTGGACTGAAGCACTACCTAAGCAAGGCGAAGCACTTATCCTGTTTTGAACCTAGCTTTAGGGCCTAAAAACGCCTTTTTGCGAGCCATTGACAACACAGCCACTTGCTTCCGGAAAAGAATAAAGTAACCATAGAAGCTAATCAAATAAGGAAGCACAACGTGATAATGCATATATCCTAAGAACTATCTTAAAAAGGTTCATCTAAGAGTTGTCAAAAGGTTTTTAAAACTCCACATCTTATATACTGATAAATGACCTACTTCTGCTCTCCTTTTTTATCAGCGCGAGTTCAATAAAATATTCTGCTCCTTTAACATAAAAGCGAAGTTCCAGCAGCGGATTTAGATTCTCCATTTCTCCTTGAACTAGTTTATGAATTACTAGCTTGTCAAGGAGAACTGCAGTTGCAAACTTAGCAGTATTCAAAGCCATTTTACAGCTCTTAAAGAAATTCATGAGGAGCACTGAACCACAAGTAGTTAAAGAAAAGAATTGTTCACTGTTGTACCATTGCAGTACTCTTGAAGGTTTGAGATAGCAACTTCCAATCCTTTACTTGAAGTTGCATTGCCAACAGCAGAGGAGACAGTTGTTTTTTGTCTTCCAATATCTTCATCAGCAAATGATCCTGAAAATAAATGAAATGTGATTATATCCAGGGGAAAAAATCTTAGTGTTACATATCAAAGATGAAAATCTTCGGACGAAGGATATATGATTAGTCACTCAAATGCTTCCTTTTAAATCAAAAAACAAGAGAAATGTAAATGGCTGAATGCAGCAAAAAAATTCTCCGTTGTTACAATCCTCAATCCCAAGTATTGAATCAGGGATCAAGACATTGCTTTTTGTTGTACAAAAAGAAGAAGCTAAACAAGTGGACGGCAAAAATCCTCTAATATCCTCACATATTAAGGACTTGCGAAGTAAATATATTGGTGTTTTTACTGATAATGAAAAACAAAACCTAAAGCAACATCACCAATGGGAGAATAGGCAATTATTGAGAGAATTAAGTCATTAACCTAAACCAAAGGGCTATCAAGCTTCTCCATCGCCACTCTGAAGTAAACTCTCAGGCAGTCCCACCACCTAACCCCAAAAGTAAAAGGACACAGAGCACCCAGCCATTTGTGTCAAGTATTCTCATATGTGATGGCTCTCCACAGAAAGAGGACTAGTGAACCATTACATAGTTATCACAAAAACAAAACCTGGTATTTGAGAGATATAAGTTGTCTGAGAGTCAGAAACACTGAGCTTTCTCTGGTAAAAGTAATTAAAGGAAGCAGAATATTGCTAATTGATTTCCAATGAAGGCATCTAAACAACAACAACAACAATGTACCCAGTATAATCCCACAAGTGGGGTCTGGGGAGGGTAGTATGTACGCAGGCCTTACCCCTACCCGGCGAGGTAGAGAGGTTGTTTCTGATAGACCCTCGGCTCAAGAAAAGGTGAAAAGAGAGAGAAAGGAAGAAGACGAAGAAGAAAGAGGAAGAAGAAAGAAAGAATAGGGAGACAAAGGGCGATAAATGAAGGCATCTAAAGTCACTTTTATTTTTTGTAGGCAAAGGAAAACCAGATGGAAATGCCCCATACAGCCAAGCACTTTAACTATCCAAAACAGGAAAGCTTAAGTAAAAGGAAGAAAAATGAAGAGGCATAAGCACCAAGCAGGAGCATTTCCTTAATAGTAGCTACTAGTTACAACCAGTTACCAAGTTTGTCCTTAAGAAGGTGAGCTCAACTGAAGATTGTAAAACAAATTTTGGTGAGGAAACTTCACATTTACAGCTTTGAGAATATCCAGAGAAGGGTAATAATATTACTTAATTTCTGTGCAATTGAAGCAGCTTCAGCAACACGGTTATCATCAGTAAATAAAGGAGAAAGTGCTGTCAGGTCTCCTGGACTTCTATTGAACTCCATCAAGTACTGTTGAATGCAAGTCAATGTAATACCGTCAATTTTTTTTATAAAAATAAACCCAAAAAAGAGTTTCTTGAGCAAAGGATGAGTTTATGCATTGTGCACCATGAATGAGATGACTTTCAGATGGTTATTCATCAAAATGTTACCTTTATGAGCTCTATCGTCTGACTAGCAGATTCTCTCTGCGTATCTGCACTCTGACCAGCAACAAAGGTTCATTAATACCAACTTAGTCTCAACTAACTCAGGAAACAAATTGATATAGGGAAAATTAAAAACTTTAGAAGAAATGTTTTTCTTTTGTCCTCGTAAAAAGTGGCATTCTTTTAACGGAGGAAGAACACTTAAGTTTTTCTGGGAGTAATCAAATCTTACTTTCTTACTTATGTATCAGATAAAAATAACCCAAGTCATGCATTTAATCAATTTCTTGCAACACTAGCAAAGAACAAAATAGCGAAGCTAATTAAGCAAAGATTATATTTACCTGCAAGTGATCTCCTATTTTGGCTGCAGTATGACCCACACTGGATATACGTGAATCTAGACGTGCAAAGCTACCAAACAATCCATCTACACCTTTTTCCAGCTGCACATTTTAATACTAATTAAAGCTAAGCTATCTAGGCTTTCGTTAGATCAATGTGTATAAAGAAGCTCCATGTACCACCAAAGATAATGAACACGATTAGAAGTTCAATGTGAATAAAAGATGATGTGAGAGGCAAATGAGGAAACAAATGGTTCAATCCTGCTTTCCAGAAAGAAATATAGTAAGCACATCAAGTACATTTTCACATCATAGAGTGTCATTGAAAATGTTTACTAGGACACTACTTTGTTCTTTAATTAGTCAATTCTAGTTCCATGAAATCCCATGTTCTTCCTCTCAAAAAGAAAAAGAAAAGAAAAGAGAGAAGGATTCCATGACAGGTGAGCTAACGTTTCCAAGCAATAACCGAAAAGGTGTTCCATTCGCAAACTAATGATTTTATCTTGTAACGCCAGAACTATACATATGCGTGAATTTCCTGATCTTACTGACCTCAGCAAGCGTCTTACGGTGCTTCAAGTCTTGGACAGCAACTTCTTTTTTGAGATTGTTTAGTTTCCCATCAACCTTATAACAAAGATAAGGGCTTTAGGTAAAAACTCTTCAGAAAGAATAAACCTCAGTGGATCAGCACAATATCCTTTACATATACCTGTCCTTTGAGCTCAACCAATTGGGTGCTTGAATTCTTAAATAAAGATAATAAAGCATCAACTTCAGGGAACAATGGGCTTGATAGTCCTTGAGCTGATTTTCCTGCATTTGACCGCAAATTCCCATTTGATAGCGCATCAATTCCAACGATGTTCCCATGACTTTCTGATGAGTCTGCTTCTTTTTCCAGATAAGAAGGCAATAGCTCAGTCACCAAGTTGCCAAACAGATCATCAAACGAAAAGTCCCCCTGCATAATCCAATATAGCACATTGCTAACAATTAACAATTGAATAATTTAAATTAAGTTTTTTCCACTCTAAATGATGACTGAGACATCACCTTGAAATCATCTACATCAAGAACTAGTGGATTAGAGTCAGAAGCTGCAGATTTTGGCATACGGTTAGCCTGCGGTCCGTCTCTAATCTCTTTCATCTAGTCCACATGAAACATGATCATTAAAAGTGGGTAAAATTTAGTAAAAGTATGGTGTATCAGAGAGAAAACATCATTATTCTCATTTGCACCAGAAAGTTCATTACTAAGTGATATTAGCACATGATTGACAGCCAGTAGGAACTTAACAACCACCGATAAAACAAATGCCACAAAAATTGAAGAAAATGATTCAAATCTGCCCAAATACTTTTATGTCGGGTAAAAGTCGGGTGATTGTGGATGTGGATCTGCTTTATGTCAATTTCATCTCTTATTTCTCAAATTCATTGGAATAATGCATTTTCATTTGAAATTTTCCCCTTTTATCTTAACCTTATCATGCTTGTCCAAGTAGCTGGTATTCCGCAAAAGTTGAACATCAAAAGGGCTTATAACAACACTATTAAGAAAATGGATCTCGCACTTAACTCAACTCCAATAACTAGCTTAAGTGGTGAGAATTGTTCAAAAACCACATAAGAAGACGCTTAACCAATGTGGGATTCTAACGCCCCGCATAATCAAGTCTGGACACGTGGAGTATGTCCCGAAAACTAGCTCAAGTGGTGACAATTAGACAAGAAAACATAAGGATACAACAACCCATACACTTAACCGATGTGCAACTCTAACATACATGATATGGTAGTTCCTACTGCTCTCATAGGCTTGAATAGGCTTTAATAGGATAAGGTGTAGTTGAATAATGACTTGCATCTTTTTGTCTGGACTACTAAAGACCCTTTCGTTCATGTATTGCTTATAACCATGCCATAAATTGTGAGATCCTATTAAGAAAATAGATATTGGGTCCAACGCAACACAGCAAAAGCTAACTCATGAAGTGAGAAATTTCCTAAAACTATATAAGGAGACAACGGCCCATTCCCCCAATCAATATGGGGCATTTTACACCTTGCATACCCAGATTGGACATTTGAAGCATGGACAACATAACATGAGGGTCCCACATTAAGTAAACCAAGAACAGAGTCGGGTCTAGCTCTGATACCATGTGAGAAATAGAACACAAGAGAAAGAGTTTATGAGAATACGTACGCACAGAGCAATAGAGAAACCAGACCCAAAAAAGTGAACCACTTGACACTTATATTATACTCCTCGGAATTTCAACCAAGAGCTGGTAAAGCATATTCCTCAACAACCATGAACTACATTGTATTGGGAGATGGATATAAAATCATTATAACCCGACTATCCCCGTATAGCTAGCCTTGTTTGGTACATAGAGTTAAGTCCTAATATGCATTGAATCATAGGTTTAGAAAAGTTGATGCTACAGAATAAGCATAGCCCATTAAAATTGTAAATTTGGAGATAGCAAAATCGCCCATCAAGAACTGCATTTTATATGGTAATTGTCTGGAGAAATCATTTGTATTTTGATTTTTGAACAAACACAAAGCTTGTGTAATTTGCCCATCTAAAGTATAAAAACATAAACAATAATGCATAGGAACTTTTTAAACTTAATTTTGTATTCTCACCGTACGTTATGCAATTCTTGATTCTTCTTAAATTGGTGCAGTGTTAATGTCTACTTAGCAGTGATGAAGAAAAGGGGACGATGAGAGGGTGCAGATGATGACATATTGAATCTGCAAGTACGAAAGTTTCCCGGAATCGTAATACTACTTCAAACCCATTAAAAACGTTCCACGTGTTTATATGGGAAGCTAGCTAGGTTTAATTTATACTTATACAGAGGAAATTTTATTTTGTATTTTTCATAACAAACATAAGTTATGGTAGGCATCTCACTATTTGACAAGTTGTTTACTCTTAAAATGGAATAACAATTAAATTTGTAAGTGGTTTTAAGGATACGTGGATTAACTTGATACAAAGCGATAAATTAAGTCAAATTGAACGAACAAAGATAAAATGGATTCAAACCACACAAGGAGGATAGTTCCAGCCTTAATGAAATATTCGCCCTCGATGCGGACTTGCTATGGCCAACACTGGTGAACAAGAGAAAGAGCTAATAATAGAGTAAATAATAATATATTGCTTTTGAATGCGTTTTACAATGTACTTCATGAATTTCAGACCCCTTTTATATAGCAGGGGAATCCTACTCTAGATACAACTCTATAAAAGGTAAAAAATCCTCTGATTAACTAATTGCTGGTTCTTCATCGATATGTGCCGAGATCCCCGCCGTGATACCCGGCCGGCCACGGATATTACGGCCTTCTGTTGGCCGTGGTCGATTGCCCGACAATGTTCTTCGAAGTCGTTCAAGGCTAGGACCGATCCCGAACTGTCATGCCCCAAACCTAAAGAGGCGTGGCCGGCACCCGGTGCCATACTCGGCCCGAGCGTACCACTCTGTAACTGTGAACTCTGGAGGGGTAACCCTTAACTTAGGCTGATGAGGCTATATTCTGAATCATCTGAAAATATCATCTCTCTCATATGAGGGGTAAACATACCCATATATATATATATATATATATATATATATATATATATATATATATATAACTGTGCAGGATGACGAGGCTTCCATGAACATCTACTTATATACAAACTATACAGGACTTGTATACAAGCCTCTAGAGATAATTGAACTGTACCATGATTGGGACAGGGCATCGACCTACCCACTCAAACCTGCATATATAAAGTGGACTCCAAGGTCTAGACCTGGTAACTCCGGGGAAGTGGAGCTTACCAACCGAGCAGATGTTTGACTCCATCTACTGGGAAGGTCTATCCAGCTGTCTATCAGGACCTGCAAGCATCAAATGTAGCGTCCCCGGCAAAAGGTACGTTGGTACGAAATAATGTACCGAGTATGTAAGGCAACAGAATAACTGAAACCTGAAACTGACTTGATAATATTATAACTAAAAGTAATTGAGTGTCAAAGATGATTTGAATATATGCTGACTTTACTCTCTCAATATAATAGCCATAGCTTCACACCTCTTTTTCCCCCACGCCCTATTACGAGATTGAGTTGGAAGAGTTTTTTCAATTAAAGTGATATTTTGGAAAGGGATTATTTATTATTTAGAGTCGCCACTTGGAATTGAGTTTTGGTGTTCCAAGTCACCTTTAATTGAATCCCTTATCAAAAGGAAAATTTGACTCCTAATTTATGGTTTACGAAAATAAAAGACTGAGTAAGGAATTCTGTTGACCGAGCGGAAGGTGTAAGGCATCCCTCGAGTCCCGTGGTTCTAGCACGGTCGCTTTATTGACTAATGTAAGGCTTAAATCAATTTTTAGCTAGCCCTATAACACTCGGTACGTATAACTGCTCTGCCGTAGTAGGCTCGCTCATAGGAGCTCGGCCATACTAGGCTCCGTATCTCGGCCATTCTAGGCTTGCTCATAGGCGCTCGGCTATAGTAGGCTCGGTATATAAATTACCATCTGATCGGAGATTGCCCATTAGGGGCCTGCCCACCGATTATAACTCGATGGTGGTGAAAATACTGTAGTACTGCTCAATAGGGGGCCTGCCCATCGATTATAGCTCGATGGTGGTGAAAATATTATAATACCATATATATATATATATGCTCTCTTAACTGGAAGAAGACAATATTCAATTGAATATAAAGTCTCGATAAGGGAGAATACTGTAAATTATGAGACTAGGATAATGTACATAAATTCGGGAGTATGAACTTTTCTTTATGCCTCGTTATCAAACACATTTAGTTACAAGATCATGCCAAAATGAAGGAAGGGTTCAGCCTTAATATACCTTATCACAATCTGTCCAATAACCCCGTTACTCGTCTCATTCCACCTTAACCTACAACAACGATAACAATACTATCATCAAGTTATGGAAGGTACAACTATCATACCATGAACGACAATCATATTTTATAATAAAACGGGCAACATCTCCCCTGTAATCTTTACTTCCTCCAAATTCGACATAACACCACCAACAACAAGAACAAAATAATAACAACATGTATTTATCATTTTCCAACCTTATATCCATAAAAAAAATACCACAAAACAGCCCACACACCCCAATCGGTTCATACACAAAACGACAACCCTATTAGTGTCAAACAACCCAAAAATATAACGACAAACGACCAGCCAACCGCCCTTCCATTAGGTGGTGTTTCTCTACACCCTTTATCCTCCCAAGCTCCATAAAAACAGTAGCAATAGAAACAACCCAACAGCAACACAAAACATCCCACAAAACAGTCCTACAGGTTCAGCAGCTCAAAATTGATTTTTCAGTTTACTAAAACACGTTTTGACTTGTCTTTTATTTTCAATTGAGCAACACAAACAACAGCACGTAATTAAGCCTCTTATCCAATAAACCATCTATCAAATTCAACTTAAAAATAAGTTCACAACCATCCAACAGTGATGCAACAATAAACAACATACCACTCTTTCGAAACTCGCTTGGTCTGGTCTTTACAATCGAGTTACAACTCGTACAAGCATAGATAATGGAAGGAGAAGCATAACCTTACCTTGGACTGAGTAGAACCTGTGAATCCTAGTCCTTCTTCATAAAAAATTAGTCCCCCAATGCAGCTACAAGAAGGAGAAAGAGAAACTAGCAAGCTATCCGGGGTTTTCGGCACTAGAATCACATCGTAACACCCGAAATAACCTAAGGTTTGTGCGGGATTTTTGGGGAGGAGTTTCAAGGGGTTCAATATGCTTTTCTTGGTCTGAAAGATGGGTGAAAGAAATGAGTTTATAAGCCCTTAAAAGTTCCCTCTTGGCCGACTTCGTTGCTTTTAATTGAGGCCTCTCCTTTTGGCAAGTAGGTGATGCACCTACTTGTCACCTACTAGTCTGTGCAGTCTCGCGAAAATGCGAATATCTCTCTACTCCAATGTTGTGTCAATGAACGGTTTAATCCGTTGGAAACTAGACTTGTGGATATTCAATTTGGTAGGTAGATCATCCTGTAATTCAAAGTAAATTGGGAGAAATGCTCAGGTATATTTGACCTAATTTTCAGTATATTTATGAATGTAACTTGTGATGATCTTTGCCCAACTTTTGTTCCACAACTCGCTTGACTTCAAAACATAACACACAACTATCAGAAGACCAAAATAACTTATAACATAACCTCCTTATCATTTTGAGCACCCTAGTCTCTCCCCAAAAGTACATGTTATAACATTCCCAACTTATCAACTTTTAACGAAACTTATTTTCTTCAATTCGTTTAGTTTCTAAGCCTTCCAACCCTCTTGGTACTTGCAGTTCATGATCTTAAATATTTGTTACCTCTAAGCTAAAATGATTAACTTACTTTATGTACTTTCAAAGATGATCTCATTTCTAAGCTTACATAAATTAACTTATGACGTACTCTCATGTACGTAAATATGGGGTTTAACATCATTTCCCCATTTGGAACATTCGTCCTCGAATGTTGATTGATGCATTTATTAGTCTCATAACCTATAACTCTTACAAATACTTTATTGTTGTCCTTTCCATCTAGGCAACTGTTCTTTGAATAAATCCAAAGGCCAGGGCATTCCCCCATTTAGACCTCTTTCTCGCACCACGACCTGTGGTCGAAATTCTTCCAATCTCATTACTGTTGCTACCTTTTGTCGTGCAGCATGTACGACTCTATCCCTAAATGTGCGCCTATGCGTCTCTTCTCTCCTTCTTCCTCCATATTTTAACCAATCTCTAGGCCTCATTTTGTTAACCTACATAGAACTATTACAATCTGTTCCTCTGGGCATCTATAGGTGTACTGGAGTCCTTCACTTGGTACTTTATCGAACTTACGACTATCGCTACATCTTGTTTCATAGCCTCGATTATCTACCTTTATGGACTTACTACATCTAGTTAGGTTATACTATACCATAGCTCTTACTTCAGTTTATTATTATCGAGGTCTACTACCCAACTCCAAGTTACTCTGTCGCTGCTTATCCTATATGTATAAATCTAAGTCCTTTAATGCTTCCTTACTACTGTTCATCTTAAGAATGACATCCTAATCTCATCTCATACTTTGGAACTTTTATCCATGTTTGTTGATTCACACTAGTGTTAATCTATAATTTACCACTAATAACTTGATACCTATTATGTAATATATTGTACTAGGGCTCACGTCTCATCGGGGAACATCTAGAGTTATTTGCCTGATCCACTTAGGGACAATACTATAGTTAAATAACCATATTTCATAGCATCCCAACGTGATTCACCTTATGGGGGTATTTTAACCCTGTACAAATTCATGAAATCCCTTTTCTTTGAATCATTACCCAATCAAAGGCCTAAACGTCATCCTCTTATCTATCGCAATTACACCCTTATTCTACCACTAGGGCAACATTCTATCTCTTCTAAATGCTCCTAGTCTTAAACTCATCTGAGTTCATTCAGGCTATACTGAGCTTTTTATAACTTAGGAAATCATCCACTCTCTTGTTTGATGGGTTCATTCCTGAGGACTTACCTATTCTCGTCACATTCTCACTCACCTTTTCTTATCCTTACTCCTGTCTACCTAAAACCTTATCGCTCTACCATACTTTAGCTTGCGACCTACACATATCTATTTATACTACTCGCAACCTTCCTTTAACTTGCTAGCACCGTAGATTTCCTTATGTAATTTTGGAACCTCAAGCGAGACATCACA